TTTATTTATTTTCCACAGAGCCCCAAATTCCCGATGGCACCCCAACACACACAAGCAGGACGTGAAGCAAAGATGTGGTGCCATCTAACATTTTTAGGATGGTTGAACAGGACAAAATACAAACATAACTCTAAAACACTACCTAACAGTCATTCAAGACAGAAGAATAGAGGAACACAAACAGAAGGGTGAAAAAACGTGTGTGTGTGCCAGCACCCCATAGTGCTTCGCTGATTATTTGCAGATGGACAGTGGAGGGCTTTCAGAGTGTGGAGGTTCCCCCTGGCACGCAGTGCATATGATTAAAAGTGTGATTCCCATACAATGTACAAGCAACCCCCTTCCCTGACTTTGAATGATTTCTCTAGAAGATTAACACACAGCGGGACCTGACCGGCTGTCTAAAAGTTGTCGTAAAATTAAAACAAACATTAAAAAAAACAACAACAAAAAAAAAAAAAACATCACCAGCCTACACCCATTGGGCGCCCAAAGGATTCAATGAGTTATGTCACAAGTCTAAAGAAGACTTGGCTGGGGCCAACTCTCTTAATCTCACTGTCTCCTCGTTCATTGAGAGTACAGAGCAGTGTTTACAAAGAGGCTGATCCCCTCCTCAACTGCGCCTCCGCTGAGCGATTGTTATGCGGGTTTCCTACCAACTGTTCGAAGTGGTTATGAGATCAATTAAAACCAGCTTAGGAGGCTTGAGAGAAGATGTGCAATTCATATGTCGGGGTAAAGGGATTCCGTAACCATTCATGAAATAACCCCCTCTATCCACAGTGAGATGTAACTATGCAGCGATGCGCATCAGCAATGTCTTGGACAGATTAACTTTTAGTTCTCATCAATTATAGAACATTTAGTTATCCTTTTATCGGCGATATATATTTAAACACAGTTAGAATAATTTCACTCAACATTACAACGTTTGCAACTACACGTGCCCGGCGTATTTGCGCACGTTTTACGCATACCGGCAGCGAAAAACTACACAGCCTCTTCATTCCGTCAACGACTCTTTTGTAAGCTTTCACCATGTTGGATTACTTAATATTTGAGTTTATGTTCATTGTCGTTTATTCTAAGATTATGGAATGTTCATTGGTGTACTTTACGCCAAAACGCACCTGAGCGTTGTCAGAACAAGAAATGAATACAACGTTGGGCAATTTTTGTCATGGAACCCAATTTTAAAAGGCGCGTGTAAAATACTGTACAGCACTGTGAAAATTAAGACATAAAAGCGTATGCGTCGAGCCCAGTAGTCATTATCTGGATGCTACGGTACGAAGCTGTAACTTTTACCTCTTTTGTTTCTCCTCCAGCGTTGTGACGGAGCCTGACAGCTGCTGTACTCCATACAGTTCAATACTATCAGGGCAAATGAGAAGAGTCGAAACTGCATCTGGACGGCTATTAAGTTGTCCGGACCCCGATTTTGAAAAAAAAAAGGGGGGTGGGGGTGCCAAGCGGGCTGGCGATGAATTCGTTTTAAATCTTCTCCTGGAGTTCCTTTTAGTCGAGCTGCAAATTTGTCAAACATCAGACGAGATGCGACATATCAGGTCGCCAGTTTGGGATCATTTTATGGAGCGAGATGATCCTCCGCTGAGTATGAGTGTCCTCGTCGGTGCGCTGTGGAGATAATCACAAAATAGATTGGTGTGATGGAAGTGTGACGAAATCAACACCGAGACCGAACAATGACGCGTGAGGTGATAGTTTTGATTACAAGTCGTCAAATGAATGTGTGGTTTGCGTGGTAATTTGGTGAAACGATGACAAGTAGACCAACAGAAACAAACGCCCCTTCAAGGACCTTCGCGCAATGGTGCGTAAAAGTGAACAAAAAGCTCGGCGACATAAACCTCCAGTCAAATTACCTTTCATCGAACGAAATGTTACTCTGCTCCGGTGTCCGGCTTTTAAGTTAAGTTCCCCTGGAGTGCAAGTGCGGCTTGGGAACACGCAGCATCACTCCTTGTGTGACAAAACTTGGGTTTCCAAGAAGAGAGCAGAGGTCCGACAGCTAAGAACTCGTTGCAGCGTGCATGAAGTGAAAGCGAGGCAGCTTTTTCCCCCTTTTTGTCAAATTCTTGGATTCCGTTCACCTGGGTTTCTTCAAAGTTTGTCACGAAGAAAGAACAATGGATACAAAAACCACGCGTGGTTGTACTTGGACGGATTGAGAGCCGCAAATGCGAGGCATGTGCGTTTCTGCGCGCTGCTGAGGTTGAGCGGTGACTGACTCCAGATTGGTCCTGATGCTTTCTGCCTCCTTCCTCATATAGAGCCGGGCTGATGTCACGCGTGGAGACTTCTAGTTTTTGCGTTCTTCTTATTTATGATGCTAAAGATGACATGTCGTATATTCGCTCCCCTCCAGCCACCCCCACCCACTTTTCTTGCACGCTCACTAGTGGATGCGAGGTTGCTTCTGGGTGCTAGTGGGCGTAAACGAGCTTTTTGAGCCTGTTGATGTAAGACAGTTTAAGGGCAAAAAAGTCGTTTTGGGGGCTGTCTAGATTTGGCATCGTGACTGCGGGAGCAATTTACATTTTTCCTGTACAATCACCCATATCCCAAAGAAGATCCCACTTCCTCAATCCTTAATTCTAGCCAATGCTTTCCACTGAAATTTAGCCGGATCAAAAATGAAATAATGACATACGTTTCAGACTAAAAATTGCTCCACTGTTAATTAGAAGTTGGAGGTATAAAAAAAAAAACGAGGATGTGCCTAATGTGCGTAATAAGATGAGTCTGCCAGTCTCGCCACGTCGTTTTATTGCACGCCAAGGACTAAATCCGCCACCCGTCCCCGAAATTAATGTAAATCGTTAGCGAGGCTCAAGTAGTTGTTGCGTGTGCATAAATCATTCACTAATTTAAGGGTTTTCTTCAGTTCAAGCATTTAAGGCTGACCCGTGTGACCTCATGAATGGATACAATCTCGGGCGTTCAGCTTCTCCTTCAGTCAGACCTACCTTGCTGAGGGACACGATGCTGGCTGGCACTCATCCGCTTTCCATTGACATTCAAACTCTGGCAACTTGTCAACTTTGAAGCTCTTTCAAGGAAAAATTGTGACTCACGGGTCGTGTCTCACACTCGTGTAATGGGAGGTAATAACAGAACCTTTCAGTTTACATGGTTTAAAATGAGTGGATGGGTAAACAAAAAGGTCATATCTTGTTTGAGCAAACCGAGCAATTGCAGTCTGGAAAACTGACGGGGGACACAGGTAAAGAATGCTATACCCAATTCAGCCACTAGGTGTGGCACTTAATCTTTCATGTATTTCAAGGGATGAAAAGCGTTTTCAATACCCTCACGTCACCACTCCATCCACTACATGGACTTTCATGACAAGTAAAAAAAACACAATTTGTTAGGGGTTGTTGCATGACAACACATATTGACAGATGAATTGAAAATAAATGACATTTGACTAAGTTTGAAACAACAAGAACACCAGTGTGAATTGAGAGTTCTCTTCTAAGGCAATAAAACATGAGTATGTTTCTATTTCTTCACTGGGACTAATGAAAATAACTTTAAACCCTCTAACAGTACATTAAAAATAAGACCCATAGGTGTTTCCTTGCCAAAGCCTATAGTGACCTTTGTCCTGTCTTTATTTATTTATTCAGAGAGCACTGACGGACATTGTGGTTAGGAGGCCTGTTTTAGCTGCAGGCGGTGTGATTAGTTTGGGTTCCTCACTAAAATAACATCTGAGAGTGCTTTGTTAAGGTGAATGTGATAATTTATGCCTTGGGCACTTTTTATTTTCATGATGTGTCACTGAGACGGGGGATGGCAAACCAATCACTTTAGTCTCCTTTTCCCTTCTTAGCTCTGCAACCTCCCTCCCTCTCATTGCAGTCTACAGATAAATGGAGATGACGTCAGCATTTGGAAGATCTGGCTCCAAGCCCTGAGTGCCATAACAGCAATGACGTAAGCTGCTGTATATTGTCATCAGAAAAAACAGACTGAAGGTGTGTGTGTGTTTGGGTTTTTTTTCTGCATGGGTTGTCATTAAATCTATATGCCAATTTCAACAATTGTTGTATCTGAGAAGTTTTGTCTGATACCATGCTGATAACTCAGTTTGAACAATTTTGCAAAAACAGACGAATTCTTCAACAGCCTCCCCAGCAAACTCACATGTTTACGGTGGCTATTAAAAGACGGCATGGTGATCTACTGGTTAGCACATACGCCTCACAGTGCAGAGGTCGTGGGTTCGAATCCTGCCACGGCATTCCTGGGTCGAGTTTGCATGTTCTCCCCGTGTCTGCATGGGTTTTCTCTGAGTACTCCGGTTTCCTCCCACATTCCAAAATCATGCACGGTAGTTTAATTGGAGACTCTAAACCAGGGGTGTCAAACTCATTTCACATTGTGGGCCACATACAGCCTCGGTAGATGTCAAGTGGGCCGGACCATTAAAAATTATTCCATACTTTGCGATAAATAACCAAAATAATATGTCTTTCCTTTATTTTGGTCTAAAGAAGCACAAGAACACTAGGAAAATGTTGAAATTTAATGAACATATCTTTTACAAAACATTTCATGAAGCACCTAAGATTTCCTTAGACAAATGTGCAATTTGCTTTTATCATTCACATACAGTATATGCATTGCAACTGATCCCACTGACTGTACAAAGGCACAAAACCTTAACAAGTAATTGGTATTGAAAAATATAGGAATGCACTTTTAAGGTTAAACGAGATTTATAAAAAAAGGAATTTTTAAACCATTTACACGAGCATATAAAATCTAAATGTAATCCCTGCCTACATCTTACAAACTAAGGAGAGTGCTATAATATGTATAAAGAATAAAGTATTCACATGTCCTTGATAGCGTCTGCTCTGTTGGGTCTGTCTCAGTGACAGACTGAGGCTGCTGTTGTCTTCTTCTCTGATCAAAACAATGTTGTCTTTTCCTCTGATCAAAACAGTGTGTCTCTCTAGCGGATATTCCATGAATTGCACCTTATTAAAAATATTCATTCCGTGTCTTTTATGCATTTTTTCACTTTTAAATTATCCTGCGGGCCTGATCAAACCTATTTGCGGGCCGTATGTTTGACACCACTGCTCTAAACTGTCCCTGAGTGTGATTGTTAGCGCAAATTGTTGTTTATCCATGTGTGCCCCGCAATTGGCTGGCAACCAGTTCAGGGTTTATGCCCGCAACCAGGCATTGGATAAATGGATCAGATAATGCAGGATGGATGAGTATTAAAAGCCGACACGCCTGTTTAAATGCCATTTTTAACGTTATAAGAAAAAGGAGACAAAGATTAAAAACAAAGTCCAAACTTTTTCCACCATTAACTACACCTATAACATCCATACATCCATCCATCCATCTTCCGATCCGCTTTGTACTCACAAGGGTCGCGGGGCGTGCTCGAGCATATCCCAGCTGTCTTTGGGCTGAAGGCGGGGGACACCCAGGACTGGTTGCTAGCAAATCGCAGGGGCACACAGAGATGAACAACCATTCGCGCTCACACTCACACCTAGGGACAATGGAGAGTGTTCCATTAACCTGTCACGCATGTTTTTCGAATGTGGGAGGAAACCGGAGTACCCGGAGAAAACCCACGCAGGCATGGGGAGAACATGCAAACTCCACGCAGGGAGGCTGCCCACCTATAACATGTACAGCTTAATTTCAAGTGAAAATGAAATATTTTAGAGAACTCTTTTAGGTTTTTGAGAGGACGTGACTGTGTTCAGAATTAACCACCAACCACAGTCAAACCCAGACAAATTGTTTTCATGGCAAAAAACAAAACTGTCAGCACGCAAGAAATTATAGGTGATTGCACAACGAACTGTAAGGGAAACAGTACATTGCTGAAGGACGACAGCTTCATTCTCTGGGGACGTGGATGCTGACTCCATGACCATTCAAACAGTAGTGAATGACATCAAGCTGTGGAGTAGAATTTCGCATCAATATCTCTTATAGGTGCCAAGTGCAGTTTATCGCAAAAGTCTTAAGAGAAGAGAAATTGAACAGTTTTATCACAGTAACACACCAGCTCAAAATACACTGGGCTAAATGCATTCAGTATACTGGAGAAACCCTGACAAATTGGGGTTCCATTTGGCGAATGGGAATGCCAATTAGCCTATTCCATCTTCACAATGGAAAGCAAAAACCTGTCAGGATTTGGCTGTGTATATATATATATATATATACATATATATAGTAAATAAATTCTGGAGTCCTATTTGTGCTCGTAGAAAAAAAAAATATATATATATATATTTATTTATTTATTTATTATTTATTTATTTTCGTCTTAACAACCAAACGGAAATGTACAATTTCCGGATTTTTGACGTAGAGTCACACAGCAGGTGCAACCTCAATAAAATTCGAATGTTGTGCTTAAATAGTATGCATGGGGGGGAAAAGAGTCAAGGAAGGAATGTGAAAGAATTGCCAGTTTTAGGGAAATTGCGATAAAGAGAGAGGGAGTGAGTAACAGAAGACTGAGTTATGAGAAGGTCAGTTGTAGGGAAAAGCGGGGGTGGTGGGGCCGACATTAAAAAGATTGTGACCGTCTGGCTAATGGTTCTTTATGACTCCCTCATGTCCTCAGATGGCCAGAATGACTGGCAGGGATTATGACCGCTGGTAACTGAACATCACTTCTGTGTGCCCCTTCAGCTCACGTCCAACTCAAGGGGACTGCCACTGACGATAAGTGTACCACTTGAACACCATAAAACCAATAGACTAAACAGCCATTCATCTTTGCAGCTCACACACACACCAAGTTTATCAGACACAAGGCATTTAACTGGCCCACTCAATGACTCAATATGCACGTTAAATCCTCATCAGGTATTACTGTTGCAGGAAAGTCTAAAAGATCAAACCTCAACCGCAGAGTGAAATGTCCAGAAATAAGACAATCATTTGTGAACTGGCTTTGTTGATTTAATTGAAACAGCGTTTTGAAACAAGTGCGGAAGCCAAACACCATGAGGTTTGGCTGGGGTGGGTGGGGGTAGAGGTGGGGGCAGCACAATGATTAGGCAACATTTATCTTTGAGCAACTCAAGGTTTCCTGACCTGGCAACTTTGTGTCTGGGAGAAAACAAATCATCAAATTAGACCATTTGGAGATCAAACCCATGTTTTTGTTGTTGATCGTGGGAAATGTCAATAAGTAACAAATGTGCTAGCAGTTAAGCGCTGACATGTTCCTTGTGTGTGTATAACGTGTGTGTTCTGTTGGTAAGCTCTGGGTCGCTGTGGGCTGACAGGGACCTAGAGCAGCTGGCCCAGATGGCAGGCAGTAAATGTTTTCTATACAGTGTGTAAGTGATTTGTTGCCTTAAGGACACAGAGACAGAGTGGTGGGCTGTGTTGTTTGTA